GCGTCTGCCGTCGCGGTTGCGCAGTCTGCATCCGAGTAGGCGACGAGCTCTGTTCCTTGCGATCCGTCGTACACGCTGTCCACGTCCTTGGTCTTCAACATACATCGCACCACCTTGATTCCAGCATCCCAGTGCTTCTCACCAGGGTTCTCCAGGAAGCGACTCAACTTGGCAACAGCAACCGAGATGTCAGGGTCGTGTGCCACACGCCAGGTACCTGATGCTACCAATGCGCGATCGGGTACGGGCTTCAACTTCATCTTAGCCTTGTCTTCATTGGTCTCCGGGTCCGTCCTCCTTAGTCAAGTGTAGACTTGGGTCTAGTGCATCAGGCTTGACTTCGCGTTTTCTTGACCGAACGTATTGATGATCGACTCGGTGTATGCGTGTTGTGAGATGCCAAGCTTCTTGCCACTCGATGTCGTAGTCGATCTCGATACCGAGAATGAAACGGGCGGGCCCTAGATCCTTGATCTTGAACTTCTCGGCGATGCCAGCCTTTACCGACGCGATGATGGCCTTGTCTCGTGACGCAATCAGCATGTCGTCCACGTAAAGACACACGATGCACTCGTCATCACCTGCACCTCTCGTGTTGATGCACGGGTCAGCGTCAGCAGCCTGAAACCCCATGGTCTTGAGATGGTTGTTGATGGTCTCGTTCCAGACACGAGACGCCTGCTTGAGTCCGTACAGACTTTGCAGTAGCATGCAGACGACATCATCTTCACCTTGAGTCTCTGCCAGTGCCAGTAGCTCCCGAAGACCTTATGGCAACTCCATGTAGATCTCTTCTTCAAGCTTCCCGTACAGAAACGCTGTATCCACGTCGCACGGCTCGATGTCGAGTCCTTCTGTACACCACTTGGCCAGCACTGCCCTGATTGAGCTCAGGTAAGCCACAGGCGCTTACGTCTCTTCGTAGTCGATGCCCTGTCGTTGTGAATACCCCTTTGCCACGAGACGAGCCTTGTGTCGAATCACTTGTCCCCTCTCGTTGCGCTTCAACGCGAACACCAGCGGCAACCGATCGGGCGCTGGTGCGTTGGTCTTGGCACTAACTTCCAGGTACCGCTGTCCGTTAGCGACTTAAGTCCACTTGCAATCGCTTTCTTCGAGTTGTCTTGGTCCGCACTAGTAGTCACTTCTGCGTACGTCTTCGGGACATCCTCGGTAGTAGCCATCAGCTGTCTACTCTCAACAATGGCGAGCTCGTTACCACTTGGCCTCGGTCGCTCTTGAGTCATCTTCTGACGCTTTGTCCCACTCGACGATAGAGCATGGATGGCTTGCTTCTTCCTGGTGCGTGCCTCCTCAGGATCCGTTGTCTCGTCAATGTGCCGAACACGCGAGCGAGTAATCATAGGATGTGTCGAGTCGTATGGCATCATTGCAGTATCCATGCTCACGTCACGTTAAAGTGGAATCACGTCAGCAACTTCAACATCGGTGGAAACGATTTGCGTGGAGTCATTCAGCGACATCTGATCCACGCTTGGCACCAATGCGTCTGTGTCGTCTTCGGTATCCAAGTGAGTCATGATGCGCGCAGGATCAGTTGTCTCAATAAATTTCACGGTGCGCACGATTTGCACCTTTCCTGTTGCCATGTTGAGGACGCGGTACCCCTTCACTCCTTCCTCATAACCCATGAACCGACACTTGAGCGTTTTTGCATCCAGCTTGCGGGCGCTTCTCGTCGGGGATGTGAGCGTATCCAGCTGCACCGACCACCTTCACGTGTTTGAGTTGTGGTTTGGAATGACTCACAATCTCGAAGGGTGTCTTCACATTGACCGAGTTGGGAATTCGATTGATGATTCAGGCCGCAGTGCTAACTGCCTTTGCCCACCACTTCCTGTCGACACACTCATGATAGTGCATACAGCGAGCCATCTCCACGAGGCTCCGATTCATCCGCTCAGCCAGTCCATTCTGCTGAGGTATGTACGGCACCGTCTTCTCATGCTTGCTGCCGCTGCGGTTGAGATGGCCTTAATCTCCCGGCGCGTGTACTCACCGCCGTTGTCCGAACGCAAGTGCTCGATTGTTTTGCCGGTTGCATTCTCTATTCCGGCCTTGTACGTTTTGAGCTTCGACAGTACTTCCGATTTGGCCTTCATGAAGTAGTGCGTAACGTGGCGTGAGTAGTCGTCAATGAATGTGACGATGTACGTACAACGACCAGATGTCGTGGTTTGCATCGGACCCATTACGTCCGTACGCACCAGGTCAAGCACACCGGCACTCTTGACGAGCTTCTCCGGATGTCTCGGGTAGTTGTCAGCCTTCATCTTGCCCATGCAGCAGCCTGCGCACACGTCGTCCCCGTGGACTTCTCCCGTGACGCGAGGCACTCCTTCTGCCATGGTCAGTAGTTCCTCGTAGCGCTTGTACGGGATGTGGCCAAGTCGGGCGTGCACAACAGCCCATGACTCCTTACGAGTAGTCGTTGCAACATGACACACCTCGCCCCCCACTGTCTTCAATTTGTAGATGTTTCCACAGCGCTTCGCCTCCATGACGGTAGCACCACCAAAGCTAAAGACACACTTGTTTTTGCTGAACTGCGCGGTGACGTCTTTCTCGGCCAGCTTCGCCGCCGAGATGAGGCTTCCTTCGACTAACTTCAGGGGATGTACAGGACATCCGACAGCGTGACAGACGTCCCGTCTATCAGCTTCATACCGACGGTGCTCTTTGCAACTGCGTCGATCTTCGTGCCATCCGCGATTGTGATACGGACTGGCGTCTTCAGCTCCTTCATGGACACGAACTTGTCTTGGACGCTGGTCATGTGCGAGCTTGCACCTGAGTCGACGAGCCATTCACTCTTGGTCATTGCACTCGTTGCCATGAACGAGAAGTCGGACGCTTTCTCTCGTGCCGCATGCCCTCATTCCTCGTCGGCCTTCTTCTTTACGGCACTCGAGCTCTCGGGGCCCTTGCTTCTTGCAGTAGAGGCACTTTCCCTTGAAACGTTGCTTGCCACCGAAATCTTTCTTCTTCGTAGCGAAAGCTTTCTCTTGAGCCGATGACGATTCATCCGAGGCTTGAACACCAGGGAGTGCTTGGATCGCGTAGGCCAACGTCACGTTGGGCGTGTTCTCGAGGACAGTACTGATCATCTTGTACTCGTCCGTCAAACTGTCAAGGAGCAACACGAGCTGGCGAGTCTCGTCCAGAATCTCACCGATCGTCTCCATTTGGAGGACGATCTCCTTGAACTGATCGACGTGGGAAGCGAACTTGGTTCCAGGCTCCATCTTGAAGTTGTTCAACTTCTTGACGAGAAGCCGGTTCTTGAGCGTCTTCTTGTTGAAGTGTTCCTTGAGCATCGTCCACGCATCAGCGGCAGTCAGTGCTCCACGGACGTAAACTTGGTACGTGAGACTCACGTCTCCAGCGATAACACCAAGTGCCTTCAGATCGTTGGTCTTCCATTCTGCCATGGAGCGATCACTCACTTGGTCTACCTCGGGCTTGATGATCTGCGGGAGCAGACCCTTACGAGCAAGCTTCATCCGCATGTCAAACTACCAGTGGAAGTAGCTGTCTTCCACGAGCTTGTCGATGTTGTCGGCGTAGCTTGGGCTCATAACCAATTGAGAGTATGCGTTCGAGGCTTGTAGTAGTCGAGGGTTAAGAAGAAATGAAATCCGAAAGTGTGTTTTATTGAGTTAGTTGTTCCTGGCTTGCTTTGCTAGCTCCTTTCTACTTTCCTCCGTAGTCCTCCTAATCACATGTAAATCCATAAACAAAACATACATTTCGTCGGCAGCGCCTATACTCGTCATAGGCGTTGGCAACGTAAATCACTTGCGTTTTGTATGTGCACTGGATATGCACAAATCCGACCCTGGCTTTAACCATGCCAATCATTTGGGATCAGCCAATCAGATATCTCCATTCGACCCACTTCAACTTATGACCCCTCAGGGCACGCTTGCCACGCACCAACCGCGTGCTCCAGGCACGTACCTAGAGGTAGGAACCCAGGCGAAGTGACGGCAAAGTGAAAATACAACAATCTCCCCAAGCCATTTCCGACATTGCCTTGCTCTTTCTGAGTATGCTTCTCACTGCATTTCATGGGGTCTTTAATCAACCCAAACCTTAGTCATTGAAACCTTTTATGATGTTATGGAAGGCACCCATTGCATAAACTCTCATTGATATTTGTTCGTTTTACCCCCAAGGATTGCTTGTACAAATTGAAGAATGCCATCACCCCCCCCCCTTTGAGGACGCACAACTCCCGTTCTTCGCCGGTTCCTTGGTGACTGCACCATGAAACAGCTATAATTAGCTCTGGGATGTAAGTAGCTAGATGCATTTGATGCATTTGATGCAGTCCCTGTCAAAATTGGCCTAATGGAGATGACGGTCATATCTGTCATTTTTTTAAATCATAAAAATGAAATTTAAAAGCTGGGCCAGCTCGTTGGTTAATAGGTACTACAAGCGTAATTTATATTATTTAAGAGATACACCCATAGTTTGATGCAATGCATAAGATGCGCATCAATACATTCTATCGTGCATCCAACTACGTGCATCCAACAACGCTAATTATAATGTCATTACTTACTAAGTGCCAGGTAGGTAGTACTCAAACTCTAGAGTTTTTTTCAAGCAAGGCGCGACTTTGTCGTGGAACGTAGACACTTCCAAAAACTAATATTGATACCCTGCACTGTGCGACCGTGAAGACAATGGCTTGATATTTTAGCGCTAAGCCTCGGCTTAAGTGGCCGTCACGTGCTGCAGCATCACTTGGTGTGTTCGAGGCGAGAGCATGTCTCCGGCATGCATGGAGTAGGTGGTGGGAATTGTGAACTTACCGTGGTCCGGAGTTTGCTGTTCCAAGCAATCAAAACGGAAGGTCGCTGATACGGAGGGTGCCAAGGGAAAGCAAAACTGAACTGGGAACCCGTCCGATAAAGCCTTCATGTATGCACCGTGATGGCAAAGTTAGCATTATGTAGTGAAACCGAACTTCAGCATCGTACCGCTGAGAAGAACTCCTGCACACTCTCAAATGCTCTCGTAGTTTTCGAGAATACCTCAATCACGGGGAGGAACTCTGACACCTGCATCACAGACGATAATGACAGTATGTCAACAAAGACAAATACACAATTGACAATGACAAAATTTACGCTGAGGGGAAATTGGTCGCTCATGTAGACAGTTGCAGGAAATAACTTCGTGATCTTGTGGCATGATGGCTGAGTGTGCACCATAATGCAGCGACGAGGGTGCAGAGCACGTAGCGACACGGGCAAACTCTCAATAGACAGTCCAAACCAGTCTTCAAATGTCATTTCCTCTTCTTTGACTTTTGTCTTCATGTCCCAGTCGTCAATTTCAGGGGAGTCTCTTTCTCCTACGGGGCTTATTACAAACCTCAGCCTCTTCGGTCTACATTCCAAACGAGCCATTGGAACTCCCTGCAGGCGAAAAAAAACAAGTCGCGAAAAACTTACCGAATAAGGGAGTATGAGTTGTCCCATGTGACAACAAGCGTGCCTATGCTGGCAGTCTTGAATGAACCGCTCTGCTCTTTTAAATGAGCCTGGGTACGTTGGAGAGGAATGATTTCGTCCCATTCATCCCCGTTGTTCTCTTGGAGAAAGCGAACACCAAAGATGATGTCACGCTTCTCAGTTGAAAACTTCCACACCACCTCCTCGCCCTTCGCCAGCTCCAGCGACACAACGTGATTGGATTTGGGATCAACCACCACCTCGGTATAGTGGTCTGCAGCTGCAGTCACTTCGGTCAACAATGATACTGCATTACACGCAGTCGATTGCTAATCATAATTCAAAAACAGTCAGAAAGCGGCAAATTGAGAATGCTGCCTCTACGTACTCGCTCGTCGATCGATTTTGGAGGCGGATGCTTCGGGTTGTGTGGCTTACGGTAGCGAAGCGATGCCTTCACACCGATCATGTCAACAACCCGCGTATCTTTCCAACAGCCAATGTCTTGTAGCATCGGAGTAGAAGAAAACCAAGCGCATTTCTTCTCGAAGGCAACATTGGATGCGTCGAAATCGGTCGTAACAATCGACGTGGTCATCAAGAAGTGCACCATCTCGTCGAGATCGAGCTCCGTCAGCTCCGTGTCAAGCTTCAGCAGATTAGTGCACGTCTCCGCCTCGTTATCCAGACACAGGAACTTCCCATCAGAACCTAGTAGTAAAAACGACAAGTCTCCTCGGTTCCACTTGCCGTTCTCGTAGCCCACTAAGGTTACATCGAAGCGGATATCCTGGGCCGCTTTCCAGATCTTCACCGTGTCCGATGGCAGCCAGCGAGAGACACCAGGAACCCACGTGGAAACATCGATGTGCATCTCACAATAAAAGTCGGGCACTTCAGCCAGGCGGGGACAAATGCTGTCAATCTTCTTCTGCAGAAGTGCAGGTGCTTGCTCTTTCTCTTCAAATAGACAACAAATTGTTGGAAGACTGTAGTGCCATCCATATCCCTTGAAAAGCGCTACAACTCACCTCGGCGAATAAGAAGCCGCATAATCTCTTCGTTTTCCGATACCAAGGCATGGTGAATGGCCTTCCAGCCTTCGGTATCACGAGACCGAACTCTTGCTCCAGCGTCCTACGAGTGGACCCAGCGAGTCAGTACTATTCTCCTCGTGCAGCATCGACGTTGCGGAGATCAGAGGGGCTTATACCAACAAAGACTTGACGATTGCTGTTGAGTTTCGATGAGCGAACTTCAGCGCCAGATGCAGTGCGCGATTACCTCGCACGTCTCGTGTCTCTAGCGCCGCCTGACCGTCAGTCTTTAGACACTCTCGGATCTGTAGCAAGTTCCCATTCTGTCCGTATCACGTAGAAATTAATTATCCGTGGCAATAAGGTGGTTGCAGCTGTAGCGCTGTCGGGACTGACCCAGAGAGCTATCTGGAGTGAGGTGGGCGCTAGGTCGATCGGATGAGCTCCATTGCTGACTGCATTCGAGCTCTTCGTCATCGTAAGGTATTGGCTGCGAAGGCGACAGCTTGGCTGGGACGAGTAGATGTTGAACCTTTCGTTTAAAATTTCATTGCTTTAGAATCTTTTCATTCCCTTTACATGAATAATCGATCTTCACAAGGATCCTGCTTGACAAAATGAGTTTCTCATGACATCAAACTGAAGGTGTAGCTGTACTGTAGCTGAAACTAGTCGATCTTGGGTGTGTGGTCGCTGCAGTCTATGCACCGCGGTTGGCGACCGCAGATGAAGTGACAGCGATTTACTGTGAGAGACAAAACATGAAAAAGGTGTATTTATTTTTGTTTCATCGAGCGAATGGTTCGCTGGCGTGTATCAAAGTTCCAGGTCAACAAGTTGAAGTTGACAAACTGGTGGTTACATGTATTCGACAATGGTCATTATCCTACTCCCGTAACATCACTATCGCAAAATACATGCCAGCGTAACCAGAATCTGCCCCACAGCACCAAGAAATCCTACCAGGTCCTGAGGGTGGTTACTACTGCCACGCGTGCCGTGCCATGAGACCAGAAATTGATCCATGGCATGACGTGGTTAGCTATAGGTAAGCCAGGAATGCTATTAGAGATCATGCCAACAGGCAAGTAGCACAATACACTTCACCTTATATAAAGAAGTCCTACATGTACCAGTAATGCGTTGGTGCTCGGATCCATAAGTCGATGCTGGTGGAAAAAAATTGCAATTTGGGTAGTTCCTACTCTCAAGTCATTAAAACTGTTTTGAAAGCCACTTGTATTTTTAAGATCCCTACGATTCACAATAGTAGCCTCTTCATACTAACCTGCAGTACTTTACAATGCAAAGTTAACTCCATCCGACACTTGAGAATAACATAATTTCAAGAGTTTTACGTGATAAGGCTTCGTTATAAGATCGGTAATGTGTTTTTGTTTTCTGATGACTTTAAACAGGTAAATTGAAGACCATTTAGCATCAGCTCAAAGGATACCTTTAGCCTTCAGGCCTCAAAACGGCTGAAACAACAATTACCACATCAGAGCGCAAGACTGGCAAAAACACGCTGACATTTTTATTGTAGTAGAACTTTGACTAGCGCTACCTTGATATGGCAAACCTAGCATCAATAATGAAGGCATACAAGCCTCTAAAGCAGCAGAGCTGCGACCCAATTGCCATCAACCCTTTTTCGTAAAGCAAAGAGGCAACATCAATAACTAGAAAATAGTATGTTTCCATCATTTCTGTCCTTAAAGCTAAAAAGTCGTATCTTAGCTCCTGCAATTAGGGCATCTCCAGCGGCAGGTCTTAAAGGCGGTTTTATGCCAAATGTAGCGCAGTTGAGACTTAGCTCGAGTCTTATGTCCACAGCGGCAGGTCCTAACGAGAGTCTTAACTTCACCAGGTCCCAAATGTCTTCCTCGAGGTCTCAAGTTAAGACTTCAGTTCTATAGGATTGTGTGGTTCACACACTTCGACAAGAGCGCGAAGATTCGAGCATTTCAAAGGCACGCAACACACCAGTACAAAGATCTCATGGGGAAGGGAGCTGAATGGAGTGCCGCTGAGACCGTACAGCTGTGCAGGTCGTGGCTGGCGACGTCCCTGGACCCAGTGCGAGGCGCGAGTCAGAAGAAAACACATTTTACAGCTGAATTTACACGCATTGGTTGGAACACAAACCAGTGGAAGCAGACTCTCGTTCTGAGAGCGCCATCGTGGCCAGATGGAAGAAATTGCTGCCTGAGGTGACTAAGTTTTCTGGTCTGTACTCGAAGTTGAAGAGCAGAGAGCGCTCGGGTTGGAACGAAGACATGTACGTGAAGAGCACAAAGGAGCTCTACGCTGATCGCCACAAAAAGGAGTTCGAGTTTTTGAGCGCGTGGGAGACTTTGAAGGACACGCCAAAATGGACAAGCCAGCTGACATCTAGCGGTGGCACAAAACGCAGCGCAGCGGAAGCCCCAGGGGTGGTCCGATCAATTGGGGTGAAGAAAGCGAAGGCGGGAAAATAGCAAGGGTCTGATGTACCTGATCATGTTCACGAGCGGTTTGTAGCTGCATCGGAAAAAAAGCTGCAATCCTCGAACAGCAGTTGCACTACAGCATTTTCATGCAGTCCCCAGGCAGCGAGGAATCTAAGGTGTATTTTGCGCTGCAGCGCAAAACCGTTCTGGCTGCTTACCTCGCTGCCAACACGGCTGGTTCAGATTCCTCCAACGCTAACTCGAGTGGTGGTAATGACACTGGGGCTTCTACAGAAGCAGACAGCAATACGATGGAACTGGTTGGTACTGCAATACTGGAGTCAGCGTTGCTGTAGCGAACACTTTAGGCATGACAGGATCGCAATTATTGATTGTCGCCAAAGCTTTTCCAAATGTTTTCAGTCAAATCACCACGCAGCTCATAGTGCACAATATCATCTTCAGTAATTTTCAATACTTGGGCAAGGTCGGTGACTGGACACTCTGCTGTTTGCTCCGGGTGGGCAGGACTTACCCACTTGTCCTTCCACAGATAATTGTTATTCAGCGTGCTGTCGCCCAGTTCGTCTTCGACGATCATATTGTGGAGAATAATACATGTCATTATTACATCACCGATTGCTGTTGGGCTCCACAGCTTGCATGGTACCGCTATGATCCGAAAGCGTTGCTGCAGAACGCCAAATGCACGTTCGACGTCCTTGCGAACTGCTTCATGTTTTTTAGCGAGGCGCCGACTTTTTTGCGTCCTTGGTTCGCTGATACTCTTCTGAAAAATCGCCCAGGATGAATATTCCGTCTGTGAGATAGTATGGCTGCTTGTACGTGGCCCCGTTGACTGTAAAAGAAACGTGTGGGCCAATTTTATTCACTAGATCATCCAGAAGTGGAGATCGCTCTAATACGTTCAAGTCGTTGTTTGATCCAGGCGTCCCAAAAAACGCATGCCAAATCCACAGTGACGCTACGGCCTCGAGAATTATTGTCGACTCCTTTTCCTTGCACCAGCCCATGCGATGGGGCAATTTTTCCATGTCCAGTGCATGCAGTCCAGACTGCCGATCATACCAGGGAATCCACGTGCTGCGTTCTCGTCTAACTATGTCTCCAGGTCGTGCTGTGTCGGCTTACGTAAGTACTCCGGCCCAAACAATCGTCTGATGCTGCTGCAAAATATTTTCATTGTCTCCAACATAGTCGATTCGGCCATGCGAATCAGTTCATCTAACTGGTCTGCACATGCTTAAGCTAGCATTCGTAGCGCACACGTCACTTTTTGTTCTGGTAGAAAACCAGGCAAGCCCGTAGCATCCAGCTTCTGCTGGAAGTAGTTGCAGCTATCGTCGGCAACAAGGGCAGCAACGATAGTCTCAAAAAGACTTTTGCGCATACGGAAGCGCCTTCTAAACTCATCTGCAATAGATTATACAACCTGTCAGACGGATGAGAGCTCCACAAGAGTGCTGTGAGCTTACCAGCATTGTAGGTGGGTTTGTCCGCCAAATAATCGGCTACCAGTTTCGCTCCCCACTGCTCCCGACCCCGCGCCCTGTCCGCACGCTTCCCCTCACTGGAACCTCCATGCTTGTGCTTTGCTCTCTTCTGGGCTGGGAGCAGATGCGCGCGCCAGTAGAACTCGTCGTCAGAGTCGCTTGCAGTGGCAGCATCCAGTAGGCCGTGGCACACGGGGAGACCTTCCATGCTTGTCTCAGCGATCGATCGCTACTGATTGGTCGAAACGCCTCGCGTAGGACTCGTGATAAAACTTGCCGTTGCAAGTAGGTGGTGAAATGCGAAGTCTTATGTAAAGCCGACGTCTTAAAGCCCCTTATTTTTCCCTATAAAACTCAGCGTTAAAACTTACCGCTGGAGATGCCCTTAGGACCGTCATTTGCATAGCTGAAAATGGCAGCCCCTGCCGGGTGTTTGTGGCTTCTCTCCGTTGACTTGGGCAGCAGCGTCGAGCCATGTTCTTGCTCTCCTTTTTAAGCGACGGTCTGCAGCCCCGAGTCGATCCCGGGGACAGCGTCGCCTCTGCAGGCGTCAGTCAAACGAACTACGGAGAAATTAAATGCCTTCAATTTCATTTTAATGACCAATCACTTGCCGCTACTTCAGCGTATCTCGATACAAGTCGTTGGCATGCAACACGGCTGTGAAAATTAAATGTTGGATTAATAATTTAATTCAAAATTTAATTTTCACAGCCGTCAAATATGAGCTAATAATATTAGCTCAGATTTGACCAAAATTAATAATTCACCATTTTTCTTAAAGGGGCTTCATGGTGTGGGGTATTTTATTTAAAGAGCGGTTAAGCGTTTTAAGGCGTCCTGTGGTCTATATTGCAAAGTGTGGCACACAATTAAACGTATTTTTCGTTTTCGAGTTGATTTCTAAGCTCAAATTAATTCCAAAACAATTGGAAAAATTTAATTGTTAGAAATTAACAGCCCAATTTTATAATCCCGATGTATTGATCAAATAATAAAATTTTGAGCATGACCAAGTGGTATGATGAATATCGAAGTGCTGGGCGGGAGGCAACGTTGCTGGTGCTGGTATGCGATCGCTGGCTTGAATAGCTTCGATCGACTCAGTTGGCAGTAGGACTCCACCTCCGTTGGGTGGCTTGTATATTTTGCTTTACATGTTAATTTCGGTATCACTTTTGGATCTTTTCGCAAGGCTCTCTTACTGTTTGCACTTTTTGTACGATACTTTGTTGCCTGCATCACCTTGTCCTCGTAAGGACTCACTCGGAAAAGCCAAGTCGGACGCCCAACGCTCAAGGCTGCGAGACAGTTGAGCGTATCGCTTGGATTCGTGACTACTTTCGTGTCCGTGGCGGCGTTGTTGCCGCAGCAATGACTGACGACCCTTGCGCATAACATGAATGACGTCGTATACTGATGGCCCGATCTCAGGGTTGTTCAACCCTGCTTGCCTTGGTGCTGCGTGAAAGTTCATACCCGGCAAGGGTGTGGATGACACGACTTGGATTTCTTCATCTTTTCGTCGGCGCATCAGGATCTGCAGTTTCTGTCGGCCCAGTCGCAGACGTAGCTCGAGATCGCGAGTCCGGATATCACTCTGAAGCTAATATCAAGGATTGAGGTTGTCAGGTTCGATTAAGGAAAAAAAATATGCAATATAGTGCAAGAGTACCTACCTCTCCCACGTCAAAGAAGTCATGTTGAATGTAGGAATCCGCGACGCCAGGATAGACCGCTTTATGCAAGGTATAGTTATATATTTTGCAGTAATACTCGGCATCGCCTTCAGAGAACAAGGGCGTACTCAGTTGAAGAAGTTGCTTGAGTTCTCTGGTTGCACAATTCTCGGTATCCAGTATTTCTTCGGAAACATGTACCAAGCGCCGTAGCTCTCGGTGAGATTCCTCGAGATCACTTACAGAAGTTATTCCATTCGCGATTCCAGCTAACCTTGTCTGTCTCAAAACCTCTGTCTGATACACATGGTTGGATGAGGTATTGATGACGTGCTCGTAGAATGCCTCGATAGATTGCGGCAAGTGTCTTGTTGACAGCTCCTTGGTAAAATATACAAAGTGTCAGTGTGCATATGATAGAGCACCTAAAGTATTGCTGCAACTACATGTAGAGTACCTCTAAAAGGGAGCTAGATACCAGAATCACGCGCTTTGTCCTTTCGACAAGCGCCTCGGTTTCCACTATAAACCTTTCTTCTTTCACACGGCATTCGTTCGGTGTGTATTGCCTCCATTCGTCAGCTTCGAGATAGCGCTAATGAAAGGAAGTAGCCGTTAGATAGATGAAATTAAGCAAAACCTGCCATGAGAGCAAACCTGGACAGACGTATGCCACATGCAAAGGTTGCTGTCATTTTGACTGTCTTGGAACTCTCGCGAGATGATACAGGAGCGCCACATGCAGCACGGGCCAAGCATGTCTTGCAATCCTTGGATCTTGAAGTTTTGTGTTGTTTTAAGCTGTCGTGAAGACCCAAGCTAGGTAGAAGAAATGGCACACTAGTTTGACAGCAAATACGGATGAAGATTAGTACCTCGAGTAACAGTAGCCCCGCACGCCTATACTTGCCTCGATGAAAACAAAATCTGCGTCTCGAAAATCCAGGAGCAAGTCCTCTTGATTTCCTGTGATGTTGCTCTGCTTCCAGAATCCACGAGGATTCTTGATAACACAGAATCGAGCACCTGCCGGCTGGTTCGAGCCCGATTTTCGGCATGGTATTAATGTATTCACGGCATCCGAAAGTGCCAAGCTTGTCAACTGCTGGTTAGAATCCGAAGCATGCGTCAGCGCATGTCTTCCTCGAACGGCATAAACCAATAGAAGCTCATGGATTGCACTATCACTCAATGCGAGCATAGAGACTTTCGATGGAGGCGCGATAGCTGCGTCCTGCTGCTCTTTACTTTTTCCAAGACAAGAGACCACCGGGACGTAAAGGGATGTAAGACATCCTTCACCAAAGAGTGCACTCGGATAACTGTTGTAAAGGAAGAATGGAACAGGTAAGATGGTAGGAACAAGGCGATAGAAAGATGAGCCGATGCATGAAAAAATCGTACAGGTTTCTCAGGACGGCAGCATCTACCCCCGGCAGCATCGCGAGAAAACACTGGGAATAATAATGTGTCTGCACAAGTTGGAGTACTGACGCACGAGCAAATACACTGGGATCGTTTAGTCCGCTTGAAGTATCGTCACCAGACTGCATTTTTCGATGGGCGAAGATTGTATCCGCACAATAACCTTTCTTTCGTTGACGAGTGCGCTCAAAGATCGCACTAATCTCTCGAAGCGATCTCCGAGCCGATGCCAGCACTGTCTGGTCTATTGGACACGTCGCTGATTCATTATCCGAAACAGCACTGGTAGCATAATTCTGCGTAATCGCCGCGATTTTTTGCTCGTACTCGGCTATATCAAAGTAAATATTAAAATCTGCAACACTGACGTGTTGCAGCCAATCTTTTCTCGTTGTGACATCATCAGAAAATCGACCTGGAGAATGGGACTGAGCTGGCAGCATCCACTGAATATAAATGGAACTCAGCGGAACGTCACACGCTGCACCAGGAAACTGTAGCGTACCTCCAGAATTCAATTGTCGAAATGCCGAGCAGATTCCATCACAAGTAGAAAAGTCTGGCTTCGATTCGGACGCTGCAGCTTCTCTAGACGGTGGAAGCCGACGTGTTCGGCGGGCAGATGATGAAGATTTAACTCGTCGAGTTTTAAAAGAACTCGCCTGGCTCATCAACTTTCCCAGCTCTTCTGTCCACATCTCAGATGCAGACCTGCCGAAATGTAGGGAAGGCGCGAATCTGCCGCTCGTTTTGGACGATCGGTGAGCTGGAGTTGCTCTGCGCAGAGATATGACTGATCGTATTGTCAACTCTTCTCCATTTCCCATCACGGGGCCTTGCTCACGAAGCACCCTGTAGAGAACTGCCCTTACTGACAACTTGCTGGCCCTTGTCTGATTTGCTGAGTTGGAGCATTTGCTACTCTTGTCGCCTGGGGCGAGCAGTGAAACAACGACATCTCCAGCGCAATCCTGCTGCAACCGAGCCAAAAAGAATTGCCATTCGTAGCGACAACGCAAGTCTTCTGCCTATACTCGAGGGCATACCCAGAAAAACGACAGTCGTGTCAGATTGCCATGGCAAAGCATCGTAAATGGAAAAGTATAGGATATTGGCAATTTACCATACTTCAGACTCCTGCGTGGTGTGTGCAGATATACTTTCCATGCGAATCAGCGCCTTCTTCATCTCTGCAATGCACTCATAATTAAGTGCCTGTGCACAGATCACCGTTAGACGTCTGAATACAGATCACACCCATCCAAATAGGCTGTATCCAACCTGCAGCCTGGCTGTTGCCTTGGTGTGGGTCTCTTTTAAATATAACTGGAACTCGTGGTTGATTGTGGAGACGTCCTGCAGCGCCGCACCACATTCAGCTTTCCCTACAGCATCCAGCTGCTGCTTCCGTCTTCGCTTTGCTTCTCGCGTCCTTCTCACACCCAGTCGCTTACGTCTCAGCATTGCCAGCCTAATATCAATCGCATTGTGTCAAATTTCTTGTACAAAGCAGCGGTGAACCCTTGGGTCAGCAGCCCCAAGAGACATCAGCAGCGTATTCGATGCGGTTTGTGATGAAGCAGTCAGTGGAGACGAGTAGTCTGGCGGGTTGTTACCAGGTGTGGCGCTGTCAACCGCGGGCTCGATATCGGCAAGACGATTACGCAGGGCATCGAAGAAAAGCCCCGGGAATACGTCGCTGGGCGGCAGCATGCGAATCAGGTCTTCAACACACCAAGCAATTAGGCAGGGACCATGATAATTTTAATAAAATGTAAATATATTGTTTCTACAGGAAGCCCTACATCAAAATATTTTTATCTATGTCGTATGACTTTGACTAAGTACGATTTCATATTTTCGTTAAAAATAAGTTACTTTGAAGTATTAAAATATTATGATTTGCAGTTATTTTGCCAGGAGCTAAAAATGGCAGCCAGATCGTAAAAATGTGTGTGAAAAAAGAGTCATGCCCTAATATTTAGCTGAATGTTTGTCTAAATCAACCTGCATATATAATTCATCGATGTGGCGACGAGGTCGCACCAGCAAGCAACGCCTTATGTTTGCGTTGGTAGACCCTTCTTAACTAGATTGTACAGCTACGGGCGCAGTTGAACGAAATGCAGCATCTGTTCCAGAATTGCAATTTCAAAAGTGCAATTATGATTGCTTAATGTAAATCATCGTGGTCCACGGTTTTATGAACTCGCATTATCGTAAATCCACCACCTGTTACTTATAAATCCAGCAAATCTAATCTCGTCGTTGCAAAGCACAATAAGAAAATAATCTCTAAAACGACGCCTTGATATCGGTCTACGGCCAGCAAAATCGTCATCGTCTCCATGCACTTTACGCATTACGTGCTGCAGTATTCCCTCCACCACGTATACACATTTGATATAGGTCTAGATACAACTCACAGCACTTTCCTTTAACTACGCTCACGTGTTCTCGACTACGAAGATTCAGCAACCCAGCTCCATCCTAGTCATCACGATCTTCATAATCATGTACAAGCAAATAACGAATACCGCGCTGCTCAAAATATGTAGTTTTCGTTTCAACTCTGGCCCGGCGTTATCCATTCGGAAATTATGTTAACTCAGGGTATATGACGTATCCTACACATTGTTACTGTACGCTTATCGACTCGTAACACTTTGGTACCAAAATAATTTGTACAGCTTACGGTAAGTTTACAGACGAACTTAGTGACTAGAACTACTGTGGATACGAGATAGTGTAGACGTCCTCCAAGCTCTAGTTAGCAATAGTCACTTTTTATTTTGCCAAGCACCACATAATATTCCTCAACCCGTTACAAAGTAGCGCTTGAAGAGTCCAAGCACTGACTTGTTTTCCTCCAATTCGACCTTTGAGCCTAGACATGCACCGTTATGGAAAAGATCAGCACGCCGACGTCGTTTGGAGAGGTCATTGCACTAATCGCCCTCCAGTCAGCGGAATCTTAAGCAACGATGCAGCACCAATACACTACGCATCGACGCGCTCGCATCAAGGCCAACCGCGGCCCGTAAGAATCAACCCCCAACGCACATTCCAAAGGCCTTCTGAGCGGGGTTACATGGTGTGGAACACACAGGGGTACGGAGTACCCGGAGAGCTAACAAACTCTCAGTACATAAGTTGGAGAGTTAACAAGGTCTCTCAGTGCGATGGCTGAAAGCCACACGTCATGCATTTGATTAGGTTTAACTATGCTAGAAAGTTAAACAGATACATTTACCGCTAGGCGGCTTGGCTGCAATAATAGAAATTAATTCGCTTCTGGTTTTGAAGCATAAAAGTTACGGTATTAACTTTGATCCCTAGTCGTGGACTGTAAGTTCCTTTAAATAAGGAACTTAGTATTAGTGACTCTTTGAGTCGAACGTCTTTCTCTGACGCTAAAGCGACGGCAGCCCCGCTGCACCTTCCGAAGTTTTTTACACTTCTGCAGAGCGGCCACGGTTTCATTTAGACTCCAGTCTTAAAAAAACATCGCTGACGGTTACGTCTCGTTCTCATTGTGGTGTAGTAGAACACGCAAATACCGTCAGATGTGGATTCCTTACACAAACCACAACGAATCACCGATTTAGGTCGGCGGTTGTATGGCCTGCGCAGAGGGTGGTCCCCTCGCGGTCCGGTCCTTCCGGGACAGACGAGTGGCTCGCTTCCACTCGGTTCCGACTAACCAAGTCAGATCACTTCCGAGGCTCCGCCGAGTTTGGTTCGGCTGAGCTCGTTCACAACCCTGTGCCCTCCACCAAAGGATGGACGACGGCGCGCGAGCGCTTTTACAGGTCACCGAGCGCAGAGGCTGCTCAGCTAGAAGTGTTACGGCACCCGGGCTATCCGACGTACCGGCCCGCTGAGTATGCGGGACTTTCTTTCGCGCGTAGCGAGACTTTGTCCTACCCGGACCGACCTAATCTCTTGGCGCTACCAGTCAATACCCTACAAGCTATGCCTCTCGAGTACTGACGGCAGGCATAATCCAGCCCTATGCAGGGACTTACCGGAAAAGTGTACACGTGGCTCGGACTAGGAAAATTCTGCTCTGTTATCTTCTGGGAGCCCTTTCGGCTCCCCCTATTTAATCATATGCTTTTTATACAAATATCTAGTGAAATGTAGTCGTTTCGGATCTCTACCGACCCTTCAGCTGAGTTCAGGCGACCGTTGAGCTCAGCGGCTATCCAAATAGCATATCCGGACAGATCGCCGAGTACTTACCGTTATCCTTTGTTCCTAAGCTCTGGGTTATCAGACCGAGCCGATTCTTGACCTAAAGTAGGTCGGCGTATGGTCGAATCTGGAAATCCCTACACCACAACTGCCCCGGTTATGATACGAGCCGAGCTGGTGAGTGTCTTAATCCTTCATTTGGTTCTGCCACCGTTGGTCCGTACTCGGCTGATGACGTCTCGCGGCTCTCCTCCACCTTCTTCGGTACGTTCGTTGCTTCTGTTGTCACTTACTTGGCAGCTCCTTACTCCTCGCATGCTATTCCAGCACAGCTCGCGGCGCCACCATTCTCCTCCAACCCCTCGTCGAGGTGAAGGCGCGCCAGCTGAGTCGATTCCTCGACCCGTCGGCACTCGTGGGGTCAGCGACCGGCCTGAAGCTGGGTTGGTCGACCTGACAGCTTCCCATGAGTCTGACGCGGAGTCGGCGGGGTCTTCTCGCGTGCGCCCTCCTGGTCCACCGAGCTTGCCGGGCGACACCACTTCGGGCGCCACCAGTCAGTCAAGCTCGGCTGCTCCAGTGAGTCTTGACTCCCTCATGACCAGGGTTAACGAGCAAGGGTACGAGCGCCGAGAAGAATTGACCTTCTTGGCGAGGCTCATGGCCTACGGATTTACTCGCTCCGTGGAGCCTTCCGATCCCGCGCAGCGGCGAGCGATCTTGCATGCTGCTTCCGCGGGGGAACTGTTAGATATCTTGAAAGGCAACTACGCCGCTCTTGATTATCCCCAGATCATCGGCGATCTCCGAGCCGACAATCAAGCTGTTCAGGAGGAGAACCGTGCACTGACTCGGCGACTGGACTCTTGCTCTCAGCAACGTCGACTTGTCCACTCAGCTCTCATCGGCACGACAGCAGGTGTCCCGATTGGAGGCTGCTGCCGCGCAGTCTGCTAATCTCCTGGCTTCACTGCGAAAGGCTGTAGCTCTGGGTGAGGCAAAACTTTCTCGGGCTATCGCAGCTGAGCAGAGCAAGGTTGACGCTGCGTTGGGTCAGGCCCAGCTCCATCATCAGCAAGTCTTGGATCGAGACGCCGAGATCGACGTCCTTCTCCGATCCATTTCCGAGAGGGATGCGGCGTTCGTCACTCTTCAGGGCATTGCTTCCAAGCACTTCGAGCAGCTGCAGGAGTCGGTGCGGTTGTACAGCTCCACCGGCACTCAACCTTTGCGGCACGCTCAGTCGGTGATCGCTGAGCAGCTGGCGGTGATCTTGCGACAGAAGCGGCTCCGTCGGAATTGGCAATTATTCCGATGCACGACCCTCACATGGCTGCTGCTGGCGGTGGCTTTGCAGGTTCCTTGGACCTTGAATCCGTCCGACCTTCCCCTTAACGCCCGGCTGTGTCGTGTCTTGGAGTCTCGCTTCCCTGAGGTTCTTCACATTCCAGCCGGTGAAACTCGGCGGTTGGAATTGATTGTCCATCCTCGCCGAGATGCTCCAGTGGCGAGTTCCGCTGTTGGTCCTAGTGTGGCTTCCCTAGCTAGTCAAGCTTCTTCTGTGACTTCATCGGCAGACTCGGCTGCGGCTCCGGTCAGCTCAGCGGCGGCTACGAACCAACCCGAGCCGACCCTCGCCCAGCTTCACCGTACGCCTTTGGCGAACTTGACTTCGACTCAGCGGCTTCGACGTTATGCCAACCCCAAGTCTCCCACTGCTGCAGGTCCTCGTCGTCGTCCACCGGCGCCGCATCCGCCTCAACCGTACGCTTGTCCACTTCCCGGGGAGGATGGACACGAGGCTATCAGTGCCCTTTTGCACTCAAGTTCTCCTCAAGCTACTGTGTCCGATGGAGGAAGGCCCCGCTCTGGAAAGTCCCGTCGTCGGACTCGGCGGAAGAAGGTTCGTCACCTTCAGTTGAGTTCTGCTACCCAACCCGCTGTCCCTGCTCGTTCTGAAGACGACGATGACGCTTCGAGCGAAGCTGAATTCGAGTTCGAGTTGCCTGAACCGCCCGCCGACACCGTTCCTGCGATTGCTTCGACGACTTCGGCGGGTTCTTCGTCCTCTGGTCCTCTGTTGACTTCGTTAGTCGCGGCTACTCGCCCACCGCCGGTATCTTCTTCCGCTGTCGTGGCTTCGCTGCCTGTCCCGGCTACGAGCGTTTGTGCCCCAGGCTCGACTTCGCCCGTCCTCGCTGGGTTGCCCCAGTCAAGTGCACCGCTCAGCGTCGTATCCACGGTGGTTGGGCATTCCCAGTCGTCAT